ATTCTTACTCGATTCTTATCTGATTCTTACGAAATTCGTGCAACTTTCGTGCCACTTCTTATATACGAATCTGATAAGAATCGGATAAGATTCTTATCAGAAATTTCAAAAAAAATTTGTCTAGGGCGAGGTACACGATAGATAAAATTCCCCACATATTCTTTAGTGAAAAGGAAAAAACCAACCATTTTACTGTACACGAAAAATAATACAAGTAAATAGGTAAAAACGAGTAAATTTCCAGTTGTTAGTTTTTATTCACCCTCTGATGCATTATTCACAAAATGTAAAATAAATCAGAAAAATAGAAAATAGTGGTGAATCACTCAAGCCTTCCATTATTTCATGTGATGATCTTTTCTTTCACTACAAGAGTACGTTGAAGTTTGATAATGTACAATTAAATGAAATCATCCGATAGAACCGTTGGTTGTTTAGAAACATACTAGAAAACACTGTGATCAGTTTTGCGCGGCGATTATGACGTTCTCGAATTTTCAGAGACTGACTTTTGACGAACCGTATCAACTGAAGACCGAACGGGAAACTGACCGTTTGACGAAAAATATCGATCTCTCTCACCTCTCACTTTTAATTTGTAACGTCAATAAAATATATGCATCAGTACATTCGCATTTACCGAGAGTTGCACTTTGAAAAATATTCATTCCTTTGCGCTTATAATAATTCTTTCACTCTATGCATGCATCATTCACAAAAGGTTAAATAAATCAGAAAAATGGAAAATAGTGGTGAATCATTCAAGCCTTCCATTATTTCATATGATGATCTTTCCTCTCACTACAGGAGTACGTTGAAGTTTGATAATGTACAATCAAGTAAAATTTTCCGATGAAAGACAAATGAAAGGCTTATTTACCTGTATCCTCACTAGTTTGTAGGAAGTATCCAGTTTTTTATAGGGGATGTCTAAGACCGATGGATTTTTTCGTTTCGTATAGCCGTATAACATACCGTTCGATTTTGCTTTGTCGTGGGATCAAGAATATTATATAAATTTTACAAAAGGGCGTAATAAGAATGAGAAAAATCACTTTTAAAATCAAAACGATCAATAACGTATACGAAACTTTTTCAATGTTGAGTTATTTCTTTTTAATACACCCAGTCTTGACGACTCAAATTATTTTGCTAGAAGGGTTAAGTATCAGGAAATTTTTGACGAAGTTTAGGAGTGGCACTGTATTTCTTCTCATGCTGGGATGTATTAGCAGCATAACTATTTTGTAACATGTGTATGAATATATTCTGGTAGTTCCGAAACGTGTAACCCATATGCAGTGTTTGGTGTATCTTCTGGAGGTACACCTTCCATCGCTTCACCTAGAAATCGAATATCTCCTTCAGCGGCACTAAAATCACGAAATAATGTTATATTACTATAATTTGCTGTTTTCATATTATCGATCTCATCATTGCCTGGAATGTATTAGCAGTTAATTCATCTTTGCGTATTTCATTAGTAATCGACGCATGCCAGTCGGTCTTTGAAAAACACAGAACAAATATACTAAAGGAAAATGTTGTGTTTTTATCGTTCTGTAGAGACTGACCATTGTACTGTATAAACCTTTGCTAATTTACCTTGCTAAGTTTGAAGAGATAAATTTGTTTTCGTTACGCGTAAATGAAGAAGAGAGAATATCACGCATTCGCGTAATGAATGAGAAAAGTTTCAGTAATGTTTCAGTAGAGCAGTAGCAAATAAGAAGATATCTCTTTGCACATAAGATATCCCGTGTGCGGACATTTTTTCATCTCATCGCGTCCATTGAAACGAAAGAGACCAGAAAGATATGGATGTGCGAAAAGAGATATCTCCTTATTTGCTAGTGCTCTAGTAATGTTTTTCGCATTTATTAGCCTCGCGTCCTGAGAATTACTACAAAGTCTTTAGAACTCTATTTGGTGCTACTTCACTATATGCACTAAGTAGAAGAGTTGATTAAAACATTGCTCTATGTCTTATTAAAATGTATACTGCACGATTGACAATAATTGGTAGAGATGCAGAAGAAGAAGAATTTGTCCTACTGTAAATAATATTCTCGAAACTGTACGTGCAGCATAATCTTTTCCTCTAATTTGTACTAAATTTTCATCATGAAATATCTAAAATGATAAGAAAGTACAGACTAGATAATGCACTAGAAATATGGTATTCTGGGTTTTATAATCATCGCATCAAATTTTGATTTGTAAATTAGCAGTCTGTTCCTCTTTCGTCTTGTCTTATTCAAAAGAAGAAAAAAGAAATACGTCAAATATGAACTATATAATCAAGTACATTTCTTTTAATATATATGTTGCAGGCAAACTTAAATTCAGTCAAATTTAAAATCTGCCTAGGTTGTACATAGTGCCATATGCCGTGCTGCTCAAAAAATAATAAAAATAATTAAAGAGATCTCGGACGGACGCTTGAAACTTAATATTTATATTTGAATTTGCTATTGATCTGCTGTACCTAAATGTTGGCATGTTCAGTTTTAATTTTTGTACAGTGCC